TTTTTTAGCTGCTGCATGTCATTGTTGGCTTGTGTTTAACTTGTTGTCCATGAGGATTCCAAGGTCTTTTTCACACGTACTGCTGTCAAGCCAGGCATTGTTCCCCTACTCTGTATCTTTGCATTTCAATTTTTCTACCTAAATTGAGTATCTTGCATTCGTCTCTGTTGAACTTCATTTTGTTAGTTTTGGCCCATCTCTCTAATCAGTTAAGATCGTTTTGAATTTTGCTTCTGTCTTCTGGAGTATTGGCTATCCCTCCCAAATTGGTGTTGTCCGCAAACTTGATGATCATGCTTTCTAACCCTTCATCTAAGTCAAGTGTCCTCAATTTTTTTAAACAGAGGGCCAGGTCACAGTCCCTCAAACTGTTGGAGGGCTGGATTATAATTAGAAAAAAAAAAACCATGAATGAATTCCTATGCACATTACACATATCTTTTTTGTAGTGCAAAAAAAAAAAAACCACTTAAAAACAATACAATAATTAAAATGAAGAACAATTTTAACAAATATAAACTTATTAGTATTTCAATGGGAAGAGTAGGCCTGCTTTTGGCTGATGAGATAGGATTGTTGTTGTTGTTGTTGTTGTTCTTGTGTGCTTTCAAGTCATTTCAGACTTAGGTTGACCCTGAGTGAGGGCTGGGTAAATGAACTTGGAGGGCCATATCCAGCCCCCGGGCCTTAGTTTGAGGACTCCTGATCTAAGTCATTAATAAAGATGTTGATCAGAACCAGGCCCAGGACAGAACCCTGCTTATGGCACTCCACTTGTCACTTCTTTCCAGGATGAAGAGTGCTACACATTTTTTTCTATTTCTGCTACGTATTAAGCCTTTGCGCTTTTCTTAACTGCTGTAATTCATTCTTTAATATATGATAGAACCTGAACTTTTTAAAAGTTAAAAACCCTTTTTTCCCAAATAGACTTCTTTCTTCACTGCATTTTATGAGGCCTTCATGACCCCCTTCTCTCATGACCCCCTTGTTTTTCCTTTGTTTCTTCAATGTTTTTCCCCATCAGGGATATCACTAAGGGCCCTTCCAGGTAGGCTCCTATATCCCAGGATCTGATCCCAGATTATCTGGCAGTGGAGACTCATATAATCCATTTTAAAGCAGAAAACCTGGGATCTGATCCTGGGATATAGGGCCTGTCTAGAAGGGCCCTATGGATAAAACAAAACTGGAATAGCTGAACTATGCCATCTAGACAGTTAAGGCTGCAGAGAGCTGTAAGCAACCACACATTAACCAAAATCCTTTTAAAAATGGTCACTAATATCTATGGTGGCTTCCCGTTTAACACACTTCCCTGGATTTCTGTCTGCTTGTCATATCCTCAGCTCTCAATGATAAATCGGTTATAAATAATATTGGAGGTGAGGGAGAAAATGTGAATCAAAATATTTCTGTCTTGTGTCTACGCAGGGCTTCTTACTCATTCTAATGTTTTCTTCTTAGTCTTTTACAGTGTAATCCTCCTCTTCTAAATGTCAGTACATTCTAGGGATTGAGAGTTTACTCTCAGGTAAGTGAATATAGAATCGCATCCTTAGTGTGTCATTTTACACTGATATATTGTTATTGTTGCTGTTGTTGTTCTGTGCCTCCTTATGGTTTCTGTTAGGATTTCTGGCAGTTGAAGGCCAAAATATCTGGGGACCCACAGGTTGAGAACCACTGACGTAGAGGTTTCTAGAGAGGTATTCTCTTTAGACATGGCTGGAGGAAACTGACCCAAGAATCACACTGGAGAACATATTGATTCTTCAAGGGAATGATTTAGGATCTCTTCACACGGGGCTAACTAGCCCTGTTTTGCCACTTTTGGCCAGGACCTGGATGGATGCTGAGCGGCATCAGATGACGCCTGGAAGGTCCCACTCACGTTCCTTCTGGAGGGGAGGGGAAGCGTCAGAAGGCGCTTCCTCCTCCACCATGGGGAGGAAAGTGTTTTTTGGGTATCCCCAATGGAGTTACCTGAACTTTCCTCCCCTTTTCCCCATATAATGGAGAAAAGGGTGGCAGGGCAATGTGCATTGCCACTAGTTGCCGCCTTTCTCCAATATGATGTGGACAAGGTGTCAATATGCTCTGCCCCATTCCCACCATATGATGGGGGAAGGAGGAAGGGCATGTGAGGTGTCATGAGGCACCCCGTGCACCTTTCCTTTTGCCGATGATTGCTGATGCAACAGCACTGTCCTTCCTGGACCATGTGAAGAGGTCCTTAATCACGTCTGTGAATAATCCAATTCACAAAAGTCAGAGCTGCAAATGTGGAGGGATACCTGTGCAGTATGAATTCTGTATCTGTTGGAAATACATTCCAAGACAACTCCACTCCACAAATACCAGAAACCACAGTTAGTGGACCCTATATTTTGACTATATTTGAGTTGCAAACATACTAAATAATAGCACTGAAGAAGCCAAAGAGAACCACACAACCTTCCAGGAAGGAATGTTTATTTGATGTGTGGATTGATGAAACCATTAACATCAATTGATAAGGCAGCAATGTTCTTTGTATTTCTTATACATGACAGATATCAGACATGCGCTTGGGAAAAAGATGTGATTTCTGGTTATGGTTCTGACTCTTTGAAACCTAGAAAGCATTTCTTTGCTTTGTGAGAGACGATGAGCCTTGGAGCAAATAGGGCAGAATAATGTGGAATGGGAAAATGAGGGAACAAAGATGGATAAATTCTTCAGATGAAAGGGCACAAGCAGGCTGTTTTAGAAATGATGCTTTTATCAGCACTCGCATTTTTCATTCTATATCTCTGTACTTTGAATGTAAGACCTACAGCGAAAATGGCCTCTCAGTATTGCTGACATTCCTGAGACATGTATCTGCAGATGATATCCTTAGTTCCACATGTGAAATTGCCCACTGATACATGTACGGTGTGTGTACCACAGGGAAGAGTCTGGTATGTAGAACGCCATGTTATAAATAAGGCAGAATACCACAAGTTTGATATTTGATTATAATTAAAATTCCTGACTAGGGATTGTAAAAGCTATAGCCCACTGAAATAAATTTCCTGGCTCTAGAGCAGTGGTTCTCAACCTGTGGGGCCCAGATGTTTTGGCCTTCAACTCCCAGAATGCCTAACACCTGGTAAACTGGCTGGGATTTCTGGGAGTTGTAGGCCAAAATACCTAAGGACCCACAGGTTGAGAACCACTGCTCCAGAATAAGGCAGCTGTGGGACCTGGAACAGGCAAAGCTGTTTCTAACATGCTCTAAACTGATCCAACAAATGTTGTCATCTCTACCACTTGTAGCCAAAGATCATTGGGTTTTGGTTTACCATTACCATAGTGCCTTGGGGCTTCTGGGAGTTGATGTCCTGCACATCTGGAGGACCAAATGTCCCAATTCTATTCTATTCAGCCCTGGAAGCTTTCTGGTAGAGCTTGGGGCTGAAGATCAATAACTCTAGCTGGAAACAGCAGAATCCCTATTCAGGCTGATTTGACCCTTAGTCATTACTTGAATCATTCTTAGGGCATATTAGTCTTCACATGGTATGACTCTTCTACAATCTGACATAACCTAGAGCACACTTAATTATTATACTTGTATTAGGTATTTGCTATTTAATCCATTAGATTGAGCAAACCTTATATATAATTCCAAAACACTCCAAAATCCTAAACTGTCCACATGGGTAGCTGAGATACTGACATCTTTGTACACAAACTAAACCAAGGGAAACTATACAAATATTGTATATAAAATGACTTTCATGCTATGCGTATATCAAGCATAACTACATTCTCTGTTTGGACTTGGGTCCTATCGCTTAGATTCCCCTTGATGTATGTATGTGCAAATACTGATATTCCAAAATCCAAAAAAGACCCACCTGAAATTCAAAACATTTTTGGTTCCAAATATTTCTGATAACAGATGCTCAACCTTAATTTAAATAGTTATATATATTATTATTCCCAGAATGAAAACATCATTATTTTACTGATAAATTCGCAAAAATGTCACAATATCCCACTCATATTGTTGACTTTATCTTGAACTGTTTTCTATTGCACACCCTCCAATAGAGCTTACATAAGAGAGCAGCTATAAGAACAAAAACTGGCAGAACAGAAAACCACCAAGCAAGACTAAACAACAACAGCAATGGGAAGACAAGAGAGTCTAACTAACAGCCAAATCAGTCTCCACTTCTTGATAATGAGAGGTGAACAAATCTATTACATCGCATTGACAAGTGGATTATATAAATATTATTTCACACATACCAGCTTATCCTCGGGCCACAGGGGTCCAGGGAGCAAGCTGTCACCAAAAATAAGACACACAAGCCATTTTTTTATTTTGTTCTCTGCTATAGTAACAAACAAGCCACAGATAAAATAGCCTCGAGTGCAAACTAATCAGCCCTTCACTTCCAGGTCTTTTACTCTGCACCAACAACCAAAACTGGTCACCACAGAATAATTGAAAAACGTTAACTTAGGAATGATGAATACGTGACCCTTCAAATCGTGTTGGACTATAACTTCCTGAGTCCCCCACCACTGACTAAACTGGTAAGGTCCACTGTGATCTGTGGTCCAATAATATCATACCCTCCAACACATCGCAGACGCTATTAATGAGGAAATATACACAAGTTTAGGAGAGACAAGGAGCAGTTTGCTTTTGCCCAAGTCTACTGGGAAGTGGAAGATTCCCTGTACTCCCCCCCCCCTCACACCCTCTCAATTAATTAGGTTTGACTCAGAAAGGACAAAATGTTGGAGGGACATTTGGAGGGTATACAATATTGGTTGGAGGGTATGCAATATCTGAAGGGCCACATATACCTCTTCCTCATCCTAACTCACACATTTAACAATTGAAAACTTTGCAGTCTCATTTTTGTTCCTGTATTTTACCATCCATGGAGATAATGAGCCTATATAAATGTGTACAGGACTTGAGCCTGAAGCTGTGAGAGAGATCAGGGCCATACCTATGGATGTTGCTTTCAAGCTTTTTCACCTTCAGCTCATCCTCTTCGGACTGCCTCTTTCTTGCTTCTTCTTCTGCTGGAGAACTGGCAGGGATCCCTTGCATCAACCATTTTTCACGAAGTGCTTTGGACTGGGTGGGGAAGATGACAGAGAAAAGAAAGGAAAAGCACACACTTAGTGAGACGTTAAGAAGACTCGAGCCTTTAAATATTTGATAGTCCTCTCCGAGTCCATGATTAATGCTTTCAGTGCTACACATATTCACTGCACTGGATAAATCCCTGAAGAACCAATCCTGATCTCCATTCTGCTAAGGTGTCAGTTCTTGTCTATCTAATACACAGGTCATTGATTAGTGAACCAGATGAAATTTTAATTTTCACTCATATGTAGACAATAAAGATAGTGGAATGAAGCAATCACATGAAGACTGAAATTTTAAACCAGGTTCAAAACCTTGGGGTGAGACGAGGAGTCAAATATGTTAATAAGAAATGATAACATTTATTTATTTCCAACATTTCTACTCCACCCTTCTCAACCCTCACCCTTCTCAACCTCCACATTCCTCCAATGCGGCAATCTAATGAAGGAACACAAATCTTTCAGAGTAGATCAATAGGGGGAAAATAATTATGTATTCATCATATCTCACAGATGACACAAGAAGCCCGCAATGGCACAATGGGTTAAACCCTTGTGCCAGCAGGACTGAAGACCAATAGGTTGCAGGTTCAAATCCAGGGAGAGCATGGATGAGCTCCCTCTGTCAGCTCCAGCTCCCTATGCAGGGACATGAGAAACCTCTCACAAGGATGGTAAAACATCAAAACATCCGGGCGTCTCTTGGACAACATCCAATTCTCTCACACCAGAAGCAACTTGCAGTTTATCAAGTCGCTCCTGACATAAAGAAAAATCATGCAAATAGAGATTATGTTAAGAAAAGCTGGCAAAACAAAACAAAAACATCCCTGGGCAACTTCCTTGCAGACAGCCAATTCTCTCACACCCTAAGTGACTTGCAGTTTCACAAGTCGACACACACACACACACACACACACACACACACACAAACCCCCCAAAAACAGATGTCACATTTCTAATGCCAAATGTATTCCTCTGCAAATGTGAATAGGGGAGATGGATGTATAAAGAAACGTAAGTGCCCTTGTCATGTCTAGTTTGATTCTTAGCAACAATGTTCCATATTTTCCTCTTGACAAACCACTTGAAGAAACAATTATATGGTCCTCCAATAGTTCCTGAACTGCACTTCCCATGATCAGACATTCATCCTTTTTCTTTCTTTCTTAGATGTTGTTGAACTGCACTTCCCAGTATCCCGCACTACTGACTATACTAGGTAGAGCTGCTGCCGTAATAGTTTCTAATGTTATATAATAGTAATGGAAGTGGAATTGCCACTATTTTGTAAATAGTAGAAAGAGTGCAGAGGGAAAAAGACACACAAAAATTCCACCATGAATCCAGTCACTGGAGCTATTTACATTGGCAGTGGAAGATCTCACTCCCTACCCTCTCTGTATGAATGAAATTTGGCTTACAAACAGCAAGGAGATCTAAAAATATTGGCAAGATACCAGTTAAAGGATATTTCAAAAACACACTCCATCTGTCAACATAATTTTTCTTCTTTTGTTTTGTTGCCATTTTACCTCCAATGTTCCAGTCAGTGAGTTCAGCCACTAAAATCTCACCAAGTTTCAAGGGATCTACTCCAAAAATGACTGTGCCTGCATACAACACACCAGAATTTCATTAAAAATTGCAAACAGTAAGTCAAAATGGATTAATCTAAGAGATTTTCATATTGACCATAAGCAGACATCTTTAGATATTATGGTGAATGTACTAGTACCCTTGCCTAGACAACACTGTATTAACCTAAAGTTGAATTTAAAGAAAATAAGGAGCCTCCATACATCTAAGCTGCTATCCTAATTTCAATCAAACTGGTCTTTTTTTCATTGAGATGGTCTGACATATTGCTATCAGGCATGAAGCATTATTGTTGTGGTTGCTGCTGATATTATTATTATTATTATTATTATCATCATCATCATCATCATCATCATCATCATCACAACAAGATTAGCACATAGCACACAAGATCACTATGCTGGCTTTTGTATTCAACCACATGTCAGACACTTCCCAAATGTCTAGGACTATGCGATGTATCGGCGAATAATACCTGCAGATCTGAGGAGGGTGGCCTTTTGAGGCTGACATATGGCAATTTTGTCAGCGCTGACTGTTTTTAAGTACAGCCAAGGTCTTTAGGCACTGCACCCAGTGTGCCCATCACCACTGGGGCCACATTTACTTGCTTGTGCCAGAGTCTTAATAATGATGATGATGATGATGATGATGATGTTTATCCCCCACTTTTTCTTTCCACAAAGGAAGTCCTTTCCTTTAACAAATATTCAAGGTTTCTGATAGTAGAGAAGTGTTATAAGATAAATTTTAAGTGAGAGTTGTAACTCTGTGATTCAACAATGTGAACAGTGCATTGCTATGTAGACACAACCATTTGAAAACCTGACATAAAATTGTAATTTAAGGTGGAATCGGTAATACTGATTAAATTAGCATTATAACATCTACAATGCAAATGCATTTACTTAGTAAACGTAAAGGTTTTCCCCTGACATTAAGTCCTGTCGTGTCCAACTTTGGGGGTTGGTGCTAATCTCCATTTCTAAGCCAAAGAACCGGTGTTGTCTGTAGACACCTCCAAGGTAATGTGGCCGGCATGACTGCATGGAGTGCTGTTACCTCCCCATAGAAGCGGTACCTATTGATCTACTCATATTTGCATGTTTTCGAACTGCTAGGTTGGCAGAAGCTGGGGCTAACAGCGGGAGCTCATGCCACTCCCCGAATTCAAACCTGTGACCTTTTGATCAGCAAATTCAATAGCACAGCATTTTAAACCACTGCACCAGTGGGTACTTCTCTATTTACTTATATGTATTTACTTAGCCATCAGAAAATCACCATAGTGACTATTAGCTATTATTGCATATATACATTTTTGAAACACTCTGTATTTATCAAAAAACTGAATTTTAGGAAAAAGAAGAGAGGCAGAGTTTGCTATCACCAGCTACATGAGTGAGAGAAAGAAGAGATATGTGGAAAGAAAGAAATGCATGCCTGAGATATCAGTTCATTATAAGGAAGCAACAAAGCGAATAAAATAAAAAGAGGTAACACTTTTTAAGGGAAACTAAACCAACCATGCCTCTGCATCTTTTTCTTCCTGTAGACATATACTCACTTGTGCAAGCTTGGTTGCATATTTTTCCACATCTAAACCCAGCTCCTCAATAGCTAAAGACAAAGTATTTGGAGAAGCACATACAGATATATTCAGGTTGAGTATTCCTTTTCTGAAATGTTTGTAATGAGAGCTGTTTTGGATTTCAGATTTTTTTTTAAATGGAATATTTGCATAGACATAATAAGACATCTTGGAGAGGCCAAGACTGAATTTAAAATGCATTTATGTTCCATATCCTGAATGGAAATTTTATACACAATATTTTTAATAATCTTCTGCAGAAAACAAAGTTTGACTACATGGGACCATCAGAAAGCAAAGCTGTCACAAACTCCTTTCATGTGGAGAATTCAGGATTTTGGAATATTTCAGATTTTGTAATTCCAAATTAAGAATACTCAACTTGTAATAAAACTGTCACCTATAGTGGAAATCTTTGTAATTCTCAATTACATGCAAAGAGAGAGAGACAGAGAGATAAAGAAACTGCTTCCCAGATCTCTCTGGTAACATGGATGTTTTGAAAGCAGGGGTGTATTTCTTCACCAATTTTGTTCTAAAAAGAAAACAACAAGTTATAGTAAAAAGAAAACAATTTTAATTGTTTTCTTTTCACTATGAGAAATTATTTGAAAACTGCAGAGTTTTTAGTGAGTATATTTAGTTCAGGACATATTATGTGCATAATTTATATGTGTTTTTTTGTACAGAAAATTGAATTTCCTAAACATGAACTATCTTTCTCTAGATATTATTTTCTGTGCAGAAATATTTGTAGTCTGCAAACACTTAGAAACAAATGCAGTCATCGCTAATAGTCAACATGGATTTATCAAAAACAAGTCATGCCAGACTAATCTGATCTCTTTCTTCGATAGAGCTACAAGCTGGGTAGATGCGGGGAATGCCGTGGATGTAGCGTACCTGGATTTCAGTAAGGCCTTCGACAAGGTCCCCCATGACCTTATGGCAAGGAAACTAGTCCAATGTGGGCTAGGCAAAACTATGGTGAGGTGGATCTGTAATTGGTTAAATGGACGAACCCAAAGGGTGCTCACCAATGCTTCCTCTTCATCCTGGAAAGAAGTGATGAGCGAGTGCCGCAGGGTTCCGTCCTGGGCCCAGTTCTGTTCAACATCTTTATTAATGACTTAGATGAAGGGTTAGAAGGCATGATCATCAAGTTTGCAGACGACACCAAATTGGGAGGGATAGCCAATACTCCAGAGGACAGGAGCAGAATTCAAAACGATCTTGACAGATTAGAGAGATGGGCCAAAACTAACAAAATGAAGTTCAACAGTGACAAATGTAAGATACTCCACTTTGGCAGAAAAAATGAAATGCAAAGACACAGAATGGGTGACGCCTGGCTCGAGAGCAGTACGTGTGAAAAAGATCTTGGAGTCCTCGTGGACAACAAGTTAAACATGAGCCAACAATGTGATGTGGCGGCAAAAAAAGCCAATGGGATTTTGGCCTGCATCAATAGGAGCATAGTGTCTAGATCTAGGGAAGTCATGCTACCCCTCTATTCTGCTTGGTTAGATCACACCTGGAATATTGTGTCCAATTCTGGGCACCACAATTCAAGAGAGATATTGACAAGCTGGAATGTGTCCAGAGGAGGGCGACTAAAAGGATCAAGGGTCTGGAGAACAAGCCCTATGAGGAGCGGCTTAGGGAACTGGGCATGTTTAGCCTGAAGAAGAGAAGGCTGAGAGGAGATATGATAGCCATGTATAAATATGTGAGAGGAAGTCACAGGGAGGAGGGAGCAAGCTTGTTTTCTGCTGCCCTGGAGACTAGGACGCGGA